TTTGAGCAGGTTTATTTCTGAAAAGTCCGTTCTTAACGCGTTTGGGTTCTGTTAATCTCCTTGTCATATTTTGTTTGTTTGTCATGTGCTAAACATACTCAGTCCAAATATGCTTTCATCATGCTCTTAAGAGGAGGGTAAGTTCTTTTGCTATATGCATTTATCTCCTCTTTACAGATAATATTTTGTCTTATATTTCTGGTTAATGCTGTTACAACGTATTATCTCGTGCAGGCTACAAGCACAGACTGTGTGCAAGTGTAGCTGCAAATTTGTGTCTAAGTGCCAATCGTTCTTTCTAAATCACTGAAATTTTGACTATTGATTTCTGTTACCTATTTTCTCTATTTGTTTGATAATTATATTCGATCCATCTTCTGGAAATGTAAGTATTTTTAATTTTTTTCCTATTCTTTAAGAAGAATTGTTTTCGGGATTACAAATAGCATGATGTTATTAAGCGTATGTAACTTGCAGGCGAAGTTTGGCATGGTTTGAAAGAACTGCTTAATGAAACTTTTCCAGCCATACATAGTAATGCTAGAGACATTTCTTCTTCAAAGTTCGAAGTATAATGCTGGCTTTCTCCATGTTTTCTTAGAAGCAAACAAACTCTCAGCTCCATCAGTTTTCCCTGTAGTTGTAATTTAATATCAGGCGGTTTTTTTAGTACAAAGATTGAACCATGGCAAGAAAAAAGATTCAGAACAAAACAAAACCTTGCGTTTGCTCCCCATTCTTATCCTTTAACTCACACTGCACAGCTCTCTGCATACTATAGGAATGAATATCCTCAGAATGAAAGGAATCTACTTCATCGTTGCAGGGAAATATATATTTGTTAGAAATTTTAGAATATATTGTATAGGGCTGAGACATTAATAGCAAGTATGTGAGTATTTATTTTTAAATTCTTGAGAGAACAGGAGCGCAGGAAAATGGCATCTCCACATTCCAGAGCAAATATAGCTCTTGGAGGAATGATAGGAGAAGAGCAATAGACTCCTAAATTACCTGTCAGAAGTTTATGACGTGGCCACTTGACTGCATTGTTTTGCCTATGCATCTTTTTTCAATATAAAGGAGTGCGGTGCGCTTGGAAGAGGTCATCCCATTCTGTATACAGAAGAATGTCTGATAACCTCAGAGGGCATAAATCTTAACTTTTAAAAAGGAGTGCTTCTTTGGGTCACTTTGATCAGTGACAGGTCGAGAATGAGCAGATACCCTCGGCTTCTCTTCCATGCTCATCTGGTTAAGTCCAGGGCACACACTGCCCACACTGGTTCTGGCAAGGAGCTGCTAATGACAGAAAAGAAGGCCTGGATGTGATTGATTAAAAAAGACAGGCTTTTTGTAATTTTCTGCTTTCATAAATGTTTTGTAAATTTGTCAGAGTAAGCAATGCTGTCTTTCTTCTCCCAGTTATCTTAAGGGCTGTGATGTTCTAAAGTACTTTCTAAGTAAGTGATCTCGGAAATGCGACCATAGGAGAAAACCACAGTGACACAGAATTTCAGAGCTGCGTACCTTTTTCTTGAGAAAGAAGTATGCTTAATCCATTTCAAATAAAAAGGTGATAGCCTTTCCAGAAGCCTTTTTTTTTTTTTTCTCAATGTGAGAGTGAAAAAGCAGTATATCAGAATTATAAATGGATCTGTGCGTCATTATATAATAATTTAGGATTCACTCAATGATGTAACAAAATTAACAACATAATTTCATTGTGTAACTGTATCTTATTAAAGAACAACTGTCTGACATTCTCTTACAGTTGCTTTATTTAACTTCATGCAAATATTATTAGTAGTGACATTTCTCTATTGTACATTAGATTCTCTCATTAGCATGATGTGTTAGTTATCACCAGAGAAATCACTTCTAGATAGGTGAGGGGGAAACCAAGAAAACTAAAAATTAAGCCAATGATGTATATTAATATAGACGCGTCTGTTCATGAGAGATATGGTACAGTAAATTCAACTTCTTTTTCTTGCACAGATGCATGCTTATTCTAATCAAAACGAAATAATACTTATAATTTGTGTAGTATGCATTGATGCTGCTGGAAATATTACATTGCATGCAGTGTGCACTGCCTATTTTAGCTGTGCTTGTATTCTACAATCTGATAGTTCCTAACGTTGATGTAGACGTAAGCACATAAAATGTTTATTCAACCTGTATTTAAAGATAGGAGTGTAGCGTAATGTCTAATGGATTGAAGGGAAAAGCTTTTAAATTTCCTGGGTTGATGGTTATAAAGATTGTATGTAATTTTGCCATTTATTATGTAATTAAATGCTTTACTGTAGCATATAACTATTCTTTTTTATATAGGTGTACATGAAAAAAAAGATCAAACATAACAGAACAGCAGACTACAACACCATACACTGATTTATTGTGAACATTTGGGGAGGAAGTTTAATGCTGGTAAAACACATTTTGTCATTTGCAGTAGTCAGCAATCACCTTTGTCAGTGATCATCAACAAACATAATCTGTTTATTCGATACGTATATTTCTCATCACACTATTTTAAAGATAAGCTGACCCCAGTATTTTTTGTTCTTACTCATGAATGAGTTGATGTGCAAGTACAAATTCAGATGCTTAATCAGGTTGCATAGGCTTATTTCAGGTATCTGCTTTAATTTTGATGGGTATTTTGGCAAAGCACAATTTAGTGCTGTAATAG